TTCGGAGCTCAGCACCGCCTTCGCGCTATCCACGTCGGGCGCGCCGACCGAAGCTCCGCCAGCGTACCCGCGGACCACCAGCGCCGCCTTCACGCCAGCGTCGAGCATCCCAGCCTGCTCGCGCGAGTAAACCCGTTGCCAGAACTTCGCACCCCACCACGGGCCAGTGGCGCTCGACGCCGCGAAGCCTTCCAGCTCCACCCTGACGGCCGCGGCGCAGGCGCTGGCGCCAGAGGGGGCCGCGAGGGTTGCTGGCGCCGCGCCCACCGTGGTCGCCGGCGCCGCGGAGGGGTCGGCCAGCCCAAGCGCCAAGCCCTGCGTGGCCGCCGCGGCGAGGGCAGCGGAAGCGGGCGCCCCGCCCTGGCTGGCCGAAATCGGGCCTGGCAGCCCTCAACCGGCGCCGAAGGCGTGGAAGGCGGCGACATCCCCCGTCGGGACCCTCGCGGGGGCTGGCGCCCAAGTCCCTGGCGCGGCAGCGGGCACCGGCCCGATGGCGAAGGGCGGCGGGGGAGGCAGGCCCAGACGGCCGCTGGTGGTCGCGTCCGCGCGGGGCCGCCGAAGTCGCCGTCTTCCGAGGCGGCGGCGGCGGGCGCCAGCTTCGCTAGCTGGAGAGCCACCAGCTGGGCCCTCAGGCGCTCGAGCTCGTCGGCGTCGTCGTTGCGGCGGCAGCACCAACTCCAAAGGCCCGCGCGCCACAAAGTGAGGCTGGTCCCGATGCAGCCCGTGATGACGGCCAGGACCAACCGCTGCACCGCGGCGCGCCCAGAGTCGGCCTTCAGGGCGCCGTCCGCGAGGCAGGTGACCAGAAGCAACGTGGCGCCTGCCCAGCCGAGCGCCCACAATTTGCTTGGGCATCCGCGCGTGGCGCCTGGCCCCTCGGGCTCCGAGGGCGCTGGAGAAAGAACCATGTTCGCGCTACGCTGGGGGCCCAAGCCCCCATAACTTCGATAGAAGAAAAACATGATGCCTGGGTTTTGAGCCCAGAAAAAACTACGAAGGGAGATCTCGTCTCACTTCACATTAAGTGACATTCAGTGGCCTCAGCCTCCAATAATAATCATCATCATCACCACCACCACCATCATCATCATCATCATCATCATCATCATCATCATCATCATCAGCATCATCATCATCATCATCATCGTCATCATCATCGTCATCATAATCACCCTAATAAGCATCATCATCATCATCATCATCATCATCATCATCATCATCATCATCATCATCATCATCATCATCATCATCTGCATCATCATCATCATCATCATCATCATCATCATCATCATCATCATCACCATCACCATCACCATCATTATCATCATCGCCATCATCCTTATCATCATCATCATCACCATCATCACCATCATCATCATCACCATCATCATCACCATCATCACCATCATCCGCCCCACCTCCTCCACCCCCCGTGCTTTCAGGAGGATGAGCAGAAACCGCACCTGCACGTGGGAAAGAGAAAGTTACGAAAACCAATGTGAATGCATCGGTTTTGACAGATTTATCTTGGGCTCTAGTGGGGCTGTCTTGGGGCAACAGAGAGCGTGTCGGAACGCTCGCTAACCATCTTGAGGCTGTCAGAGGCAGTGTTGAAGCCCTCTTGGGCCACCGCGGGCTCCTCGGGAGTGGGGAACACGCTATAGGCCACCTGTGAGTCTCATTGGAGTCACGTGCATGCCTCTTCGAGCCTCGTTTGGGGATCTCGTCGGGCTGTCCTGGATCCCCGAGGTTGGATGCATTTGGCGTCCCGGGGGCGGCCTGGCAGGTCTGAGATAAAGCGCTCCGCTCGTTGCTAGCCCCCGCTTCCCCCCCTCCCCCTCAGGCTGGCCACCCATCTGGGGTTGAGCACTGCACTGGCCGCCACCCCACCTGCGAGCACAAAGGCTTCGAGCCTCCGAGTCGAGGTTCTGGCTCTGCACGCCGCGCGCCGAAGGGTGCTCTCACTCTACGCCAACACCAATGTCGGGGAGCGAATTCTTGAGCAGGGACCGACCGTCCCGGCATTCCTATAGTCATACCACGAAATGTTCTTAGAACCCAAAAATGTTCTAAGAACAGAAACAATGTTCTTAGAACATCAGCCCGATGTGATAAAACAAGACAGTCCCCGCCGGAAATGTTCTAAGAACAGTTCGTGGAAACCACAAAAGGTTCTTAGAACATTGTTTGGTAGGGCTATAGGCGAGCCGGGACGCTGAGCCACTGCTTGAAATGCGGGAGGGAGGGAGGGAGGGAGGGAGGGGAGGAGGGAGGGGAGGGAGAGGAGGGAGGGAGGGAGGGAGGGGAGGGAGGGAGGGAGGAATCGAGGGGGGAGAAGGGAGGGGAGGGGAGGGGGGGGAGGGAGGGAGGGAGGGGAGGGGAGGATCGAGGGGGGGGCACGGCCGGACGGCCGCTCACAGGCGCGAAGAGCGCGGTCGCGCGGTGACGCCGCGGACGAGCCGCAGCGCCAAGCATGCAGGCTGATTGAGAAATCCACTAGCTTTGCTAGGGGGCCACATGCGAACCCTACCCCTCAGAAATCGTGGGGGGTAGGCGTAGGGTTCGCATGTCGCCCCCTATTTGCGGAGTGAGCACGATGCGAGATGGACGGGGGAGGCAGCGGGATGGGAGGCCGACCAGGACGGAAGGCGAGGAACTAGGAAGGACCACACGCGGAGATCATCGAAAAAGCGTCCATGCTATGTGATGGCGCATCGGTACACGAACGCGTGTGCACACAGCGCTACAAGCGCAGTGTCGAAAGAGGGGAAACCTACGCTGATAGACAGACAGGCACTGTAGCCGCAGATGGGCGGCAAGTCCCCAGGGAGGCACCAAACCGTCTTCCCCTGCAGGGGCAGGACGAGGGGGTGCCGCAGAGGGGACGCTGGACCACGAGTCACCTGGCAAGCGGTCAATTCTGACGCCTTTCAGGCGAACAGTAAGTCTAAAGAGCCCATCATCACGGACTCGCGCAGAGCCAAGACAACCCATCACAGCTGACTCGTGCCGACTGTGCACACGACCGCACAGTATGAACGGCCTAATGCTGCGCGGCCTGGGGAGGGCCCTGCGCATTAAGCATGGAAGCGGCTGTGCAATGAAGGCATGGCGCTGGTATTGGACGTGTGACGGGCGACCCTCCGGGAGCGCTTGGCCGCGCACCCTGGCGCGCCCGCAATTTCATTTGTAAATTCGGTGCTCCCCCGGCCCCCAGCCGCCGCGGCCGGGCCTGGCGCGCGCGCGGGCGCGCGGGCCTCACCTCTGCCCCCTCCCCCCCCAATCCCTCCTGCGCTTCCCTGCCGCCTCTCGCCACAAGGCTCGCTCTGCGCGGGAAAATCATCCTGGCGAAAGACCCAACCATCTGCAACTGTGATGCTGTGGCACCGCGTTCGGTGGAGCTCCCTATGGGACCACGAACCGTGTGAGGAGTCAAATGGGGCGGCACCGTCATGCGAACCCTGCCACTGGGACCTTGGGTGGAGCTTCCTATGAGGCTTCTAACCGTGTAAAGGTTGCGCCAAAATGGGGCGGCGCCGGCATGTGGACCCTGCCACTGGGGCTTTCGGCTGAGATCCCTATGAGGCCACGAAACGTGTGAGTGGTGCGCCAAAATGGGGCGGCGCCGCCATGTGGACCCTGCCGCTGGGGCCTTCGGTGGACCTCCTTATGGGGCTACGAACAGTTTGAGGGATGTGCCCACTTGGAGCGGCGCCGCCATGTGGATTCTGCCACTGGGGCCCCAGGCGGAGCTCCCTATGGGGCTACGGACCGTGTGAGGGGTGCGCCAAAATGGGGCGGCGCCGCCATGTGGACCCTGCCACTGGGGCCTTGGGTGTAACTCCCTATGAGGCCACGAACCGTTTAAAGGGTGCACCCAAACGGGGCGGCGCCGGCATGTGGACCCTGCTACTGGGGCCTTCGGTAGAGCCTCCTATGGGGCTACGAGCCGTGAGATGGGTGTGCGCACATGGAGCGGCGCCGCCATGTGGACCCTGCCGCTGGGTCCTTCGATGGAGCTCCCTTCGGGGTCACGAAGCGTTTAGCTGGGTGTGCCGAACACAGACATGCGGAGGGCAGAGGCAGGGATGGGAGGAGGGAGGACGGGGAGGAGGAAGGAAGAAAGGAAGGCGGTGCGCTGTCTCTTCAGAAGGAGGGCCCAACACCACATGATGATTGGGAACAAGTAGCAAGTATGACTCGGACATGTTCTCCAGGCCAGAGCTAAGACAAGTACAGCGAGAATAGCGACCCTGCTTAGGGGCGGTAATCTCGAGCGACAATCTGCAGAGGAGAAAGCTGTGTGCACTGAACCGTTTCGGGTGGGAAACCGGCGGCCTCACTCCCAGCAAAACGCAGCGGCTTCTAGATGCTCTGCTTCTATCTTACCGCGAATCTTGAGCATGGCTACTGCTGCGCATGCGGGTAGCGAGCTGTTGTCATCATGTGAAAGATAATTACTTACCGCCTGGCTCCAAGGCTCTTGTTCGGCGGTGGGTCTCACCAGCCTGTCTGGCAGTCGTGCATACTGGTGGTCCACAGAAGAAGCCTTCCTCGCACCATCTTAATAGACGCAATGCTCCCACACAGTACAAGAAGATGCGGGTGAAACGCTACAAAAAGTCACCTTTAGGCCCGGCCTGAACGTGACGATCGGCGGCGGCGACGGCTCATGGCCACGACAGAGAATCTCGCGCCCCGCCAGGCTCCTCAGAGCACACTTGAAGGGCAACGATAGGGGGGACTGGATAAGGGGGGATGCATCGACCTGGAATCGGCGATACATCACCGATAGACCGGCGATAGGCCCCCGATAGTGAATCCGCACCTTCCTAGGCAGGCTGGGGCCATCGGGCCCCTATCGGCGATCAATGGGCGATTGGAGATCGATGCACCCCCCCTATGCCTATCCCCCCCTATCGTTGCCCCTGAACACTGGGCCACACGAGGCACCAACAGGCGTTGAGGTGCCGCGCGCGCGGGAGCCAGCCGCGCGGGCGTCAGCTCGTGCGGCGCTTGTCCATGCCGCACCTCTCCATGTCCTGAGCAGTCAGCTTACCGAGGGCGAAGGCGAGCCCAGCCGCCGCCGGCCTTCGCTCGGGCTCGAAGGCGAAGCACTGGCGGAGGGCCGGCTGCGTCGCCTCGGCGAACCAGTGGGGCACCAGGGGCGGCCGCCCGCGCCGGAGGCAATCCATGATCTGCGCCACCTCGGGCACGTCCTCGAACGGGATGGGCCCCCCCAGGATCTCGATCAGACAGCAGCCCAAGCCCCAGATGTCGGCCTTCTCCGTGAACCGCGTTCCCGGGCCGTTGAACAGCTCGGGCGCCATGTAGCGCGGGGAACCAAGCAGCTCCGACCCCTGCACCACGGAGAAGCCATGCTCGAGCGCATGCGTCTTCCCGAAATCACACAGCTTGGCATTACAGTCGGCATCGAGTAAGATGTTGGACGTCTTCAAGTCCAAGTGGGCCAGTACGGGGTCCAGGCCATGCATGAAGTCGACAACCTCTGTCAATTGCTGTGAAATTTTCAGGCGGATGGCAGCTGGCAGGTTGACCCTGTTCATGTAGAGCAAGCTGAATACGTTTCCCTTCGGCAGGTACTCGGTGAGGACGGCAAGGTTGGGGGGATCGAGCACGCAGCCGACGTACCCCACTACGCCTGGGTGCTTCAGAATGCGATAGGCGTTGATTTCCCGCTCGAAGTTGTGCATCTGCTCCTTGGTCATGGAGCCGTCGGCACCAGCGAGGCAGCGCTTCGCGGCCACCACCTGGTTGCCGTGCCTGGCCAACATCACCTCGCCGAAGGACGCAGTATCTATGCATGCGCAGACCTGCAGATCCTTCCACCTGACGAGCTCCGAGGGCAGGATGTGCACTCGCAGCTGCAGGCCTGAGCCGCCCTCAGACACCTTCACGTCCGCAGACCTCCGCGCGGACGCGGGTGGGGTCTGCGTGGCCCTGGCGCTCAATCTCGGCCTGGGCGTCTGCTCCCTGGCCCTGGCGCTCAAGCTCGGCCTGGAACTCCTGGGCGTGTTGAGGTCCTTGTAGCTTGCAGATACTTCGGTGGCAACTCATGGGAGCCTCACATTCCATCTTGTCGGCTCTTGCGAATCGACGCTAAATCGACGCTAGTCGACGCTACATCGGCGCTGTTCGCCGCTAAATCGGCGCTAATCGACGCTAGCCGACGCTAAATCGGCGCTATCTCACTGGCTCCCAGACGCTAATCGACGCTAGTCGACGCTAGAGACAGAATTACGAGGGTACACAGGCTCCCATGATTCGCTGCCGAAAGATACGCTCGTGCAACGAAGCACCTCCAGCGGCACTCGAGGTATGTGTGTGCGCGAGGCCACCGCTCCCAAGGCTGTCGTGGATGACGTGACGTACCCAGGCAATCTCGTGGCCGTCGTGGCTGTCGTGACTGGCGTGTCTTCCGTGGCTGATGTGGCTGTCGTGGCTGTCGTCTGCCCAAGGATGTCGTAGCTGACGTGGGCCACGTCTGCGGAGTCTCTGCCGTCGTGGCCGACGTGGGCCACCGTGGCGGCACAGAGCCCCAAGGCTGACGAAGACTTTGACGTCAGGCGGTGCGCGTCCGCAATCGCCCGCACGGAGGCCCTGGGCGTGGACATGTGTACTACCTGCCCCCTGGCTGCCAAGGGGCTTAGAGCTCTGGCCGTGGGCAGGTGGCTGCGGCCCGACAACAATTCCAGGCTTGGCACGCTGGCGCGGATCCCTCTGAAGACGCAGTCGGGTGATCTCAGAACTGATGGCGCTGCTGCAGCTCGCACCGGAGACCAGGTACCCCTGGACGCTGGCGGTGGTATTCTTGTGAATGAGACGTGCGCCTCGCCGTGGATCATCACGTAGGGCCAGGAACCTCAGGCAGAATATAGGAAGCGCAGGAGCGAGCTGATCTGACCCGAAGCCAGATGATGTTACTGGGTGACTGAAGGAGCTCTTGATCCACCTGTCGGGTTATGGGTCAGGGCGGCTACGGTGGGTCAGTGTGGCCTCGTTGGGAGCCGTCTCGGGGGTCTCTTGGAGCCTGTTTGGCCACCTTGGGCCCCTCAGGGCCACCTTGGGGATCTCCTGGGGACGTGTTGGGGCCATGTTGGGTCGTCTCGGGGCCCTCCTGGGTTGTCTTAAACCCCTCGGGAGGCCCTTTTGGTTATTCCGAGGGCTCCCTTAAGACGTATTGGGCCCTTCTTGGGTCATCTGGGGCTCTTCTTGGGGCCCTTTTGGGCCGTCTTGAGGCGACCTCCAGAGAGCGCGCCCACAGTGACGGAGCAAAGGGGGGGGGGGTCCCCCTTTAGCTACCCCCCCTCTCCCTTGAACCTTGAACCCCCCCTGCTGGAAGCTCCCCCCCCCCCCTCCCTGTTTCGTCCGCCCCTGGAAGCTACCCCCCCCTCCCCCCCTTTCGGAGGTTGGAAGCTACCCCCCCACTCCCCCCCTTTCCAAAGTAGCTACCCCCCCTCCCCCTTGGCTTCCCTCTGCCGGAAGCCCGCTCCCCTCCCCCCCTTTTTGCCCCCCCCCACCGGAAGCTACCACCCCCCCCTCCCCCTTTTGCCGCTCCGGAAGCTCCCCCCCCCTCCCCCACTTTCCAAAGGGGAGAGGGCTTAGCTCCCCCCCCCCCTTGAACCCCCCTGCTGGAAGCTACCACCCCCTCCCTTGAACTCCCCCTGCCAGACGATCCTCCCCCGTCGCCGTCGTCGTTGCCGTCGCCGCCGTTTCCGACGTCTTCGTAAGACGCCGTCGTCGTCCTCGTCGTCATTGTCGCCGCCGTCACCATCATTGTCGCCGCTTTCGCATGACCTCGTCGTGGTCGTCACGACGAGGACGAGGTCATACGAAGACGGCGACGGACGACGGACGACGGACGACGCGCGACCGACGACGACGACGACCCAGGGTCAGAGAAAACGAGACCACGACCCAGGAGCTGAGAAAACGAAGAAACGAAACAGGGTCCGAGAAAACGAGACCGCGGCCTAGGGGCCGAGAAAACGAGAAAACGAACCAGGGTCCCCAAAAAAACAGACCAGGGTCCAAGAAAACGCGACCACGACCCAGGGGCCGAGAAAACGCGAAAACGAACCAGGGTCCGATAAAACAAAACCACGACCCAGGGGCCGACAAAACGAGATAACGAGAAAACAAACCAGTGCCCGAGAAAAGGAAACCACGACACAGGGGCCAAGAAAACGAGACAACGAGAAAACGAACCAAGGCCCGAGAAAGCGAGATAACAACCCAAGGGCCGAGAAAACGAGAAAAACGAGAAAACGAACCAGGGCCCGAGAAAACAAAACAAAAATCCAGAAGCCAAGAAAACGAGAAAACGAGACAATGAACCAGGGTCCGAGAAAACACGATAACGCCCCAGGGGCCGAGAACACGAGAAAACAAAAAACAAACCAAGGTCCGAGCAAACGAGACCACGATCCAGGCCGAGAAAACGCGAATATCGGGCCTAGAAAACGAGAACACGCGAATATCGGTCCGAGAAAACGTGAAAAAAGGAATCAGGGCCCGAGAAAACGAGACTACGAACCAGGGGCCGAGAAAACGAGACAACGAGAAAACGAACCAGGGCACGAGAAAACTGAACCACAACCCAGACGCCGAGAAAACAAGAAACGAGAACACGAACCAGGGCCCGAGAAAACGAGGCCACGCCCCAGGGGCAGAGAAAACGAGAAAACGAACCAGGGTCAGAAAAAAACGAGAACACGACCCAGGGGCAGAGAAAACGAGAAAACAAGAAAACTAACCATGGCCCGAGAAAACAAAACCACGACCCAGGGGCCGAGAAAGCGAGAAAACGAACCAGGGTCAAACAAAAAAACACGGACCCAGGAGCCGAGAAAACAAGAAAACGAGAAAACGAAACGGGGTCCGAGAAAACGAGACCACGACCAAGGGGCAGACCAAATGCGAAAACGATAAAACAAACCAGGGTCCGAGCCAGGGGCCGAGAAAACAAGAAAACGAGAAAACGAACCAACGTCCGAGAAAAAAGACCACGACCCAGGGGACGATAAGACAAGAAAACAAGACAACGGATCAGGGTCAGAGAAAACGAAACCACGACCCAGGGGCCGACAGAACAAGAAAACAAGAAAACGGACCAGGGGCCGAGAATACGAGACAACAACCCAGGGGCCGAGGCGAAGAGAAAACGAGAAAACGAAGCGGGGCCCGAGAACACGAGACCCCGACCCGGGGCCGAGAAAACGAGAAGACGAGAAAACAAACCAGGGTCAGAGAAAACAAAACCACAATCCAGGGGTCGAGATACGCAGAACATGAGAAACCGAACCAGGGTCAGAGAAAGGGAGACCACGACCCAGGGGCCGAGAAAACAAAAAACGAACCAGGGTCAAAGAAAACGAGACCACGACCCAGGGGCCGAGAACACGAGAAAACTAGGAAATTAACAAGGGTCCGAGGAAAATTGACACCACGACCCAGGGGCCGAGAAAACAAGAAAACGAGATCACGAACCAGGGCCCGAAAAAACAGCACAAAAACCCAAAGCCGAGAAAGCGAGAAAACAAAACAACGAACCAGGGTCCGAGAAAACGAGACCACGACCCAGGGGCCGAGAACACGAGAAATTATTAAACTATGGCCAAAATCACCCCCCGGGGGCCGTATACCGCCCGGGGGCCGTATACCGCCCGGGGGCCGTATACCGCCCGACGGACCCTGTCCGCGGCGGGGGGTCTCCCGTGGAGAATCTGGCCCCGATTCCCCACCAGAGACCATCCGCCGCGGACAGGGGGCCCGACACCATGCCAAATCCAAGGCCCGACACCATGCCAAACGGGACCGCCGCGGACGGGGCCCGACACCATGCCAAACGGGACCTCCCGGGGCGGGTTTTCGAAGGCCCGACACCATGCCAAACGGGACCTCCCGGGACCATTACTACCCAAAACTGCAAAAAAAACACTAGAAATCATAGAAATATTGCAAATCAAAAAAAAAAAAAAAAAAAAAAAAAAAAAAAACAAAAAAAAAAAAAAACACTGAAAATCACCTAAATATAAAATATACAAAAACTGACAAAAAAAAACACTAGCCCTGTCCGCGGCGGGGGGTCTCCCGTGGAGAATCTGGCCCCGATTCCCCACCAGAGACCATCCCCCGCGGACAGGGGGCCCGACATCATGCCAAATCCAAGGCCCGACACCATGCCAAACGGGACCTCCCGGGACCATTACTACCCAAAACTACAAAAAACACTAGCCCTGTCCGCGGCGGGGGGTCTCCCGTGGAGAATCTGGCCCCGATTCCCCACCAGAGACCATCCCCCGCGGACAGGGGGCCCGACACCATGCCAAATCCAAGGCCCGACACCATGCCAAACGGGACCTCGGGACCACGGACCCCAAAACTGACAAAAAAAAAAACACTTGCCTGGTCCGCGGCGAGGGGGTCTTGCCGGGAGAATCTGGCCCCGATTCCCCACCAGAGACCATCCCCCGCGGACAGGGGGCCCGACACCATGCCAAATCCAAGGCCCGACACCATGCCAAACGTGACCTTCCGGGACCATTACTACCCAAAACTGCAAAAAACACTAGCCCTGTCCGCGGCGGGGGGTCTCCCGTGGAGAATCTGGCCCCGATTCCCCACTGAGACATCGCCGCAGGACAGGGGGGCCCGACACCACGCAAATCAAGGCCACGCTCCATGCAATCGGGACCTCCCCGGGACCATTGATACCAAAACTGCAAAAAAAAACACTAGCCCTGTCCGCGGCGGGGGGTCTCCCGTGGAGAATCTGGCCCCGATTCCCCACCAGAGACCATCCCCCGCGGACAGGGGGCCCGACACCATGCCAAGTCCAAGGCCCGACACCATGCCAAACGGAACCTCCCGGGACCATTACTGCCCAAAACTGCAAAAAAACACTAGCCCTGTCCGCGGCGGGGGGTCTCCCGTGGAGAATCTGGCCCCGATTCCCCACCAGAGACCATCCCCCGCGGACAGGGGGCCCGACACCATGCCTAATCCAAGGCCCGACACCATGC